TTTATTTATTTATTTTTAATTGGTGTTTTTATTAACGTAGTAAAAATTTGTTTATATCACTTTATATCTTTATATCTTTACATCGGCTTCTCTAACTTTCTAATTTTCTGCCCTGGAGTAACAAGATGCCTCACAAGTTACACATATTTCATTTTTAAGTCTTTTTTCACTTCTATTTGGACTGTCATAGCTGAAACCTGTTTTGCATGAGCCAAACATCTTACAGATTTAGTTGGATCTTTTCTAATTGATCTTTTTAACTCTATTGAAATGATTATCCCTCTTTCTTTTTCAATAAATGATGTCAAGATTCCTAAGCGTCTTATCGAAAAAAAAAAAACTGGTAGAAAGAAACTCAGTTACTTTAGTAGTTTTATTAAACATTTTGTGGGATGGACAATTACGCTGTTACATGATTCGGACAATTTTGCTGTTATACCCTGTATATAAGCCATTCACTCTTGCAAGAAAATAAGATTTGTAACTAAAATTTCAAACGTACTAGAAAGGATTAAAAATTTAATAAAATAATAAAAAATGCTTTGGTCTTTCTTCTTAATGGTAACAGAAACATTTTGACAATAAAGCTTTGTTTTTATCAATTTTTGACCTTTTTTTTGTCTAAATGTTTGTATCTCAAATTATATGGATATGAGTACAAATCAAAATAATCCTTGTTATATTCTTATAGAGAAATTTGGCATTGACTTTCTCATGAAACAAATGTATTACTTTTATAAAAAAAATCATTGGTAGTGGTTAGGGAAAATGTTAAGTTGATACTTTCTTTTATTTGAAACTTCAAAATCTAACCCAAATATTAATATTTGACTATGTGTCATAGTTTATTTACTTACATGTAGCCATATAGACTAAAAGAAATACTATTTGCATCCATCTTTCTTGCGTAATTTTAGACAACTGAAATAGTATTTTTATTGAAGAACCCAAAGAAATCTGTAGTTATTGGTCCTAATGGCTACAGTCACTTTCCTACCACCATAACGTAACTACTTTGTAATATTTCTATAATTTTCATGTAATTGTTCTGAAGAACTTTTCTCTATGCTAACGAGATCTTATGAACTTGAGCGCACTACTAAATTGGCAGTTAGGTCTTATCATTTTACTGTTGAAATGTCTATATGTAACCATAAGTTCTATGCTAATAGTTTATTCTATCACAATTTTCACATGTGGCATTTTTTCTGGCTTCTTGCTTCCCAGTCAACTTTGAAATTCAAAACTTTAAATGCAATATCAATTGTTACCTTCTGTCTTCTTAATTCATCTTCTTTTCTTGTTCTCCCTCCTTGATATTGTTTTTTCTCTCGTATTCTCTAACACTCAGTAACCTCTTCCATCTTAGTGGCTTTATTGCCTTCCTCATGGTGAAATGATTAACAAAAATTACATGAAATTTATACTAACCTTATGCTCGGTATCCATAGATGCTGTTTTAATATCAGGACTTTTCAACATTTTGAAGTTCAATGTGAAATCATTCAAAAACGTTTGATTGGCTGTTAAAAGTATAAAAAATGACTATTTAAAAATGTTTGATTGGCCGTTAAAAAGTATAAAAAATGATTATTTAAAATGTTTGATTGGCTGTTAAAAGTATAAAAAATGATTATTTAAAATGTTTGATTGGCTGTTAAAAAAGTATAAAAAAATGTTAAAAGTATATAAAAAATGATTATTTAAAAATGTTTGATTGGCTGTTAAAAGTATAAAAAATGACTATTTAAAAATGTTTGATTGGCTGTTAAAAGTATAAAAAAATGATTATTTAAAAATGTTTGATTGGCTGTTAAAAGTATAAAAAAATGATTATTTAAAAATGTTTGATTGGCTGTTAAAAGTATAAAAAATGATTATTTAAAAATGTTTGATTGGCTGTTAAAAGTATAAAAAATGATTATTTAAAAATGTTTGATTGGCTGTTAAAAGTATAAAAAATGATTATTTAAAAATGTTTGATTGGCTGTTAAAAGTATAAAAAATGATTATTTAAAAATGTTTGATTGGCTGTTAAAAGTATAAAAAAATGATTATTTAAAAATGTTTAAAAATATAAATTAAAAATCTCAGGAAAATACAATCAAGTCAGACTTAAAACAAAAGACTCAACCTTTTTTTTCCAAATGAGGCAGTGAATTAACCGCGAATTATCCCCAATTTAAATAAAGAATTTACTACTGTTGGTTAGTTTCTTGTATAACTAGTGTCAAAATAACTATAACCAATAAGTAAGTGATTACTCCAGAAAATCACCACAGAGTTTCCAAATTATTCAACACTGACTTTCATCCTCTCATGTATAACAGTTGAACATTCAATGAGGCTGCATGCTTTTGCTGTACCTCCAGAATACTAAAAGACATTTTCCGTGAACGGCTGAATGCAGTCAGAATTAAAACATTACATAACTTAAATATATAGATGCTGTAATATAAACAATGTGCAGATGTACTTTCCGTAAAAGAACAAAATCAGCAAATAAGAATTACAGATTCAATGTTATCCAATCAAACGGAAGATCAATAATCTAAAATTGTGTTCAAGTTGAGCCTATCTCTACTGATATAAGCAGAGGGGAATAACAGTATAAACAACAGAGAAGAAGCAACTATGTCGATGAACCATGAACAACACATCTGCACAAAATATTGGAGTCATAAAATTATACTGACTTCTGTCAGACAAGGAATTTGACATGAGATTTATTCACTGCTGATAGGTAATTAGATTTATTTGTAAGTATCAATATCACATACTAAAACCAAATATGCTCACAAAAACATTCATTTAGGATATTTGAGCAGTGCTTGCTGTTTGCACAATGAACTAATTGCTCTGAGAGAGACTCATCCTTTTCTTTTCCACAGTACTAGTGTTCTGCATAATAAATAATTGTTATTGTTTGTTCTACGAATCCATGTTTGTGTTTAATCATATTTCTATAGTCAGAGGCATTGCTTCTTTAAGAGTGATGAAACAAATCATGGCTATTAGAGCCTCTATACGTTGAATAGCTGGGTCTTTTCCCCTTCTTCCAGGTGATCAAAACGCAATAATCTATTATTTATGAGGTATTGGCCTGAGACATTAAACACTTCTATCTTAATTTCTTTCTTTCTTTTTTCTTTTTGTCTTTCTTTCATTTTCCTACTCAAACCAAGTAGTGTATTTTCCCCTCTTTCCCTGCGATCAAATCGGAATAGACCGTTATTTATGAGGTATTTAGCAAGGTGTAAAAAATCGTGAAAAGGAGGGACAACTACAATAATATTAATAAAAATAATAACTTGAGTGAATAATATTATGGAGTCAGTTTAGATAGAATTGACCAAAGATAAAATTATAGGTGCGTCAATAAAGAGGAATAGGCTATAAACAGCAAATCAATCAATCATTTCTCATTCTTATTTAAATCAAGATTATTCCTCTATTAATAATAGTATAAATAAACAAAACCTGTCAAAATACATAAGAATTTATTAGAATTTAATGTAATTTTAATACCACCATAACTTTTGTCAAGAAAGCGCTCAATTGATAACTAGAATAAAAACAATCACTTAATAAATTTCCTATCAGCCTATATTTCTGAGATGAGGTATTGTAATTATTTACATTATGTACATTGTTCAGACTGTTGTGCTCATCTTTGTTACCATATTCATGACGCTTCGGCCATTGTTCACTCCGGCCTTCTTCAGGATCTGTCTATATTTCTGAGATGAGGTATTGTAATTATTTACATTATCTACATTGTTCAGACTGTTGTGCTCATCTTTGTTGCCATATTCATGACGCTTCGGCCATTCATCACTCCGGCCTTCTTCATGATACGTCTATATTTCTGAGATGAGGTATTGTAATTATTTATACTATGTACATTGTTTGGACGTTTGTCTTCATCTTCACTGACATATTCACAATCTTCCGGCTGTTGTATGCTCCGGCCTTCTTCTGGTAATTGGAATTTTGAATAGTGGATAAGAGCGCTGGTTGAATCGAGTGACTTGGCCCAAAAGTTGTGCATTCAAAGGTTTACATAATACTACTCATCGGTTTCACAAGGTTCAACTTATCCATTATTCTGATGGGTGGTATTGTCTGAAACTCCTCTACAAGATTATTCATTTAAATAATCATCTGTGTGAATATGACTATGAAATCCAGCAAGAAAGAAGTGATAGAAGTAAAAGAACAGGTGGGGTAAGGATTAGCCGATGGGAGTCCTCAAATTCCCATACAAGACGCTGGGTGATTTTTTGAGCAATTTATTAAGGGCATATTATGGCAATGGTAATGAAAAGTTATCAGTTTCCTTAAAAGGAAATATTCAACTATTCATTGCCCAAACAGCCAGGGCTGTTGTCGGTTGAAATTTATAAATTCTTTCTCTTAAAAAAAGTTTTCCGGAAAATAGGTTTCTCAAGTTCAGTAGATGTTACCACTCTTTCCAATAATGATGTGGGTTTCCGTCCAAACATTTTGTTTGAAGTAGTGTGGAATGTCAGCATTTTGATGATATCATTGTGTTCTCTTTGAGTTACATGTGCTATCCATTTTAGTTGTTGCTGCTGTTGAAATTCCACAAGCGATGTTATTTGGTCCAGTTCTTTGTTTGTGTTTCTGTTGTGCCTGCCCTCAATTTTCAAAGGAATGTGGTTTTTAACATGACCCAGTGTCTTCACTCGCTCAAAGCTTTTTTTAAACACTGATTTTAGAAAGCAATTGTATACAACTGACAGTTTAGATATTTCTGAATGAGTTTGATGCCATGTTTAACATCCATATGAATGTCTCGATATGACGGCGATATTTAAGAACATGGCTTCAGTTAATAGGTTAATGTTTTGGTTATGTAGTAACTGGCAGTTTTGTGTGAAACTACCTCTAACACAGCCCATTCCTTATCTCCTATACAAAACTTATTAAAACCGATGATACTCTAAGATATTTGAAGAGTTTGGTAGTTATTAATGGTGAATTCAATACACAATTTTCCAGAAATTAAATCTAATTGTTTGATTGAAAATGATTCAATACTAGATTTTACAAGCATTTGTTATAACATTCTATGTTTAAAATAGAAGAGAATACATTATGGCTAAGTATTGGGAAAAATAGACACCCATACCACTTGTTGGAAATATATTTCTGAGATAGAATCATTTCATCGGAACTGTTGACAGCCAAACTTTCTAGAAAAAAATTAAAAGGAAGAAACATGTGAAGATGCCATTTCATTAGCCCATAAACTGATCATCAATGAGCAAAGTTATTTTGCTTCACGTGGATCTGCAACTACTAAGATCAGGAAGTCTCTCTCACTCACCCGCCTCTTTGTCACTGAAATCTTTCTCTCAGGGACAATAAAAGTAGCTAATACAAACTATATGCATTGTGTTATCTAATACTAAATAAGAGTAAGTAAAGATAGAACTATTGAAATTAATATGGTGAAACAATCCACTCGGCCCACTAGAGGGATGACTGTTGTAATCGAGCACCATTTCAAGATATATATTTAATGATATATGATGTCATGACTATGCTACATTGATAGTTTGCCAAATTATGTGTTAATGGAAGATTAAATCTGTATATGGTTCTGGGGAAATGATTCAGAAGAAAAAGAAAAAGATACTGACTTGGTATTTTTTCGAATGCTTTGTTAATCTTAGACTGGATTTCAATTAATGTTGAAGAACTGCAGATCTGCAAAGAAAAAATGATTTTGAATTATTGTCTCCAAATAAATTGTTCCTTTTTTCTTTATTATACTAATATTAATTTATGACCAAACACTTTAATACCTTATCTTGAATTAATTAGTGACAAATGTTTTTTAAGTCATTTTTGAAAGGCATTTTAAACATTAAAATATTTTAATGAAAATAGAAACAAAAAATAGACACTTTGTATAGAATCAGAATAAGGCAGTTGGAATTTCAAGGGTACATAATGAGTAAAAAGGGCGTCAAAAATTTGGCTCTCATAAAACATACTGAAGACAAGCAGACGGAAACAGTGAATAACCTACCCAGTGTGTTTCTGTAAATATATGGCAGAATAAAGATAAAGAGAGATAGTAAAGAGTCAAACTTTACTTACAGCCATGAAGAAAGTTCTGGAAAGTCATGGTCATGTACATTCAAGGCATAGAAAAGAAAGAACTAAGAATTCTTTTGTTGCCCAGTGGTCAGAAATCTATTCTGAAAGGACCTCTCATTAGTATAATGAATATAGTCCGTCATAATGCTCTACTATTATAGCCTTGTGCCACACAATTTATAATCATCATAATTTATTCTATTAGAATTATTTACATTATTTTATACGCAGAATATTCTTCTCATTCTTCATCGCTGGGTACCCAGTCATAAAGGGGAATCACAGAGCTGATCAGGCAGCAAAAAAAAGCACTATAACTGGAACTCTCAAAAGATAAAATTCCATTCACAGACCTAATAGCAACAATTAACAAACATCAAATGAACAAATGGCAAGAATCATGGAATTCTTACACCAATAGCAAATGACATGCAATAAAGGAACAAATTGGAGAAATAAATGACTACAGTGAAATGACTAGAAAAGAAGAAATAACATTATCAAGACTCCGTATGGGCCACTCGGGCATCATCCATTCTTACCTCCTTAAGAAGGAGGCAGCTCAAATCTGTATACCATGCCAGGAGGCCTATACAATATGTCACATTTTGACAAATTGTTTAGACTTGAAGCAAACTCGCCAATAGTACTACAAAGAAACAAACCTGAAAGAAGTATTCCTCCAAGTAAAACCTTGAAAAATACTTGAATATATAAGAGAAACTGGTGTCTATAGCAAAATCTAGAAAAGATTGAAATAAACACAAATACACCAAGCTATATACCTCCATGAAGCTGCTTACTTCAACATGCCTACTCATACCAAGAAACATTTAACTTAAGATTCTTTTAAAGTCACTCAAAATCATTTTCGGCATAAAGTGACCACTAAGGTTGGAATGCCATTAAACAAAACAACGAAACCAAACCAAACCATTCTTCATCATGTGCTTGTTTCAGGTAATCTTCAGGGGTTTTAGGACTAGCAAATCATGCTACTCAGTTAAATAATGCCATTTTTGGATGGCTGTTTGGTTAATTTAATCATATGTCAAAATGTTTTACGTTATGTGTTTTATATGACCCAAATAATAATTAATTAATAGACACCTGTCCAGTTTACACTACAGTCAGAAAAAAATAGACATATATCCAGTTTATTCAGAAATGGTAGACATATGTCTGATTAAAAAGGGGGCATAGTCCCAGTTTACAAGAATAAAAAAGAGGACATATGTCCAATTTACACTATATTCAAAAGTAGATATATATCCTGGATATGAAAATAAACTACATCCGGCAGTAAGGCTTCTGATCAAGAGATTGGAGGTTTTGAGGAGCATAGAACCACCACTTAACTGCTGTTGTTCTAACTTGACTCAAGCTTGTAGCAATTTTTAGGACCCTATTTATGGGCAAATAAGCAAAACCCCTAAACAAAAGCAAAACATTATGAACGTATTAAAAAAAATTATAGTAAAAAATATCATCAAATCATTTTTATATAGTAAAATTACTAACAATATCTACTTATAATAAAGTTACGAACACTACATTTTATATTAGAATTACCAAAATATCTTATAGCAAAATGACCAACAATACATTTTATCTATAATTGGTTTACACTAAAAACAAAAGTAGACACATGTCTGGTATACACTCGATCTTAAAAGGGAGACATGACTGGTTTACACTAAAAACAAGAGTAGACATATGTTTGGTATACACTCGATCTTAAAAAAGGAGACATATGTCTGGATTACGCTAAATTAAAAAAAATAGCTAGTACGTCTGGTTTACACTACAGTCAGAAAACCGAAACATATATCTGGTGTACAGTAGAGTAAAAAAGGTACATATGCTCGGTTGGCATTAGATCAAAAACGGATATATATGCCGAGTTAATGGTTGAGTCAAAAAAGGGAGAAAAATATCCAGTTTACACTAAATTAAAAAGTAAACTTATGTCCAGTTTACACTCATCTGGAAAAAAAACGGAGTGAAAAAGTGGGGAGTTACGCCTAGTTTACATTAGAGTCAACAAAGGGAGACATGTGTCCGGTTTACATTAAAGTAAAAAAAAAGAGGATATATGTCCAGTTTATAATGAATTCAAAAAGTAAACCTATGTACGGTTTATACAAGGGTAAAACAAAGGAAACATATTTTTGGTTTACACAAGAGTAAAAAAGGGGAAACATATGTTGGGTTTGCTCTAAATTCAAAAAAGCAGATATATGTTCAGTTTACACTAAATTAAAATAAATAAATAAAAACATTTGTCCGGCTTACACTAGATATAAAAAAAAAATACCTATCTTCGGTTTACAATAGAGTTCAAACAAGTAGACATATGCCCGATTTACACGAGAATTAAAAAAGGGAAACATACGTCTGGTTTACACTAATGTCCCAAAAGGGAGACATATATCTAGTTTACACTAAATTTTAAAATTAGATACGTCCGCTTTAAACTTGATTAAAAAAAAGGAAAACATACGCCCAGTTAATAATAAGTTCATAAAGTAGACATATGTCCGATTTACACTAAATAGCAAAAAAGTAGACATATGTCCGATTTACACTAAATAGCAAAAAAGTAGACATATGTCCGATTTACACTAAATTAAAATACTAGACATATTTCCATTTTATACTTGCGTAAATGGAGACCAATTTCCAAAATTTAAACTAAATGTCCGTTTTATACTAGATCATAAAAGGAAGACATATCCGGTTAACACTAGGTAGACATATGTCCGATTTACATAAGAATCAATAAAAGAAGACATATGTCTCGTGTACACTACAATAAAAATGTGTGTCTGGTTTATACTAGTCATACTAGTAAGATACTATATACTACAAGTTAGATATACTATTTACATTATTTGGACTATCATGCCTTATTTATCACAACGTTTCGGCCGTTGTATGCTCCGGCCTTCTTCAGGTTGGAATATTGAACTGAACCCTTTATTTCGCTCGCTGGGGTAGATTGTTCTAGTTTCACGTGCCATGTTTTTAATGGATGTCAGTTATCTCCTGTTAATTCCCCTCTCCAAGTTCTCCACCGCCTTAACCAGGTATTGAACTCACGCTCTTTGTGTCCTATCACTGGATCTAACTAACACCTTTATCCACTGTGTTATGTGTCCTTGATGACATCTGTGTATGAATTTCTGGGCATTATAAACCTAATGTCTTCAGCAACCGTTTACCAGTGCTTATATTGCAAATTTTGCCGTTATCATTGCATGTATTTTTTTTACCAGAGCTCATATTGCAATTTTCGTTGTTATTATTGCTTTTTCTCAGGCACGCCTTATTACTGGTTCCCATATTGTATTCATTTCAAGCCTTTTCAAAATGGAAGACATAGGTACAGTTTGTATTTGAGTCCAAAAGTAAGGCACTTGACTCGAAAAGTAGACATTGGGGAGAAATATATAAGATCCGGAAGTATTCACTACATTGTTGGCCCTTTTAGGGTAACATGTTACACTACTTCTTGTGATGCAGTATTTTAAGCCCTTCAGACTGAGCAAAAATAATGAAATGGAAGAAACACTAATCCGAAAGTAGAAGATGAATTCACTCAATGTTTAATATTTACAACAAAACTTATTTCAACGTATAAAAATAAGATGAAAAATTACCTTATCTCTAACTTTGTCTCGTATTATGTCTCCCATCTTGCCAGAAAATCGATTCAACAACCAGCTCAAACGACCATGAAATTTCACATTAGGTCTTGGAACATTTGAATGACAGTCACCAACCACTACTGTGGGACGACCAGTGGCGCTGTCTAAACCTGTAAGTAATAAATATTTTTTTTAAGTTTGAAATGTGAAAAGAACAACATAAAGAAAAGTCACTTCCGGAAAGGCCTTTTGAAAAGCCATTTCCGGAAAGGCCATTTGAAAAATCATTTCCGGAAAGGCCTTTTGAAAAGTCATTTCCGGAAATGCCTTTTGAAAAATCATTTCCGGAAAGGCCTTTTGAAAAGTCATTTCCGGAAAGGCCTTTTGAAAAATCATTTCCGGAAAGGCCTTTTGAAAAATTTCCGGAAAGGCCTTTGAAAGTCATTTCTCGGAAAAGGCCTTTGAAAAGTCATTTCCGGAAAGGCCTTTTGAAAAATCATTTCCGGAAAGGCCTTTTGAAAAGTCATTTCCGGAAAGGCCTTTTGAAAAGTCATTTCCTGAAAGGCCTTTTGAAAAGTCATTTCCGGAAAGGCCCTTTCAGAGTTACTGCAGGAAAGGCCTTTTCAGAAGTCACTTCGGGAAAATCTTTGCGGGAGTCACTAAGTGAAAGACTTTTCAGAAGTCAATTCCGGAAAGGCCTTTTCAGAAATCACTTCCAGAAATACCTTTTCAGAAATCACTGCCGGAAAGGCCTTTTCAGAAGTCACTACAGTGAAACCCTTTCACAGGTCACTTCTGGAAAGCCTTTTTCTGAAGTCACACCAGGAAAGGCCTTTTTTATGCAAATGCCAAACTACAACTACATGTTTTAATCTGAGTAAATCGTTCACTCGCCAGTAATTTACAATTACCTGATAAGATGCGTTGTATGTGCATCAAAACGCGACTGTAATTGTGTAGCGAAATTGACATGTTTTCAATATAATATCCCAAATAAAAGTGTATATATATATATATATATATATATATATATATATATATTCTTCTAACATTGTGAATTTTTTGGAAATGCTATTAAAGAAAACATTGCACTCTCGCGTAGTGTTATGGAATCTTACCCATAATAATAATAATGGACTATTTCATACTTAATAAATACTGCGCCTCAGGAGTAGGCAGGGGGTCAGTAGTTCAAGTCGAGTCAAGAGTCTAGTAAAGAGACGAGTCAGAGGCAGTCCGAAACAGAGTCGCGTTCAGACAATTACTGCAAGACATTGGAATAGTAATACTGGTCGAGTCTACAATGTTCTCTCTACTAAACCTGATTGTTCATACTAACACTTCTATTTCTCTGTATATATTCCTGTTTGTAATATATCTGTGTTATTCCATACCTGTGTTCGAGTTCTTCTTTATTGATTCTACCTTGGACTATCACCGTGGTACAAGGAACCGGTCCATAACACGTAGAATTTAAACGTGCGTCTCTCAGGGCAGAGGAAGCTACCGTTAAGCCCGGCATACCTTAACTGACTTGGTCACGAAGAACGATCGGCCTGACGAGACCAAATATAGTATTTTCAAGGAAAAAATCTTCCCGTCATAGGATCTTTCAATGTTTTTCATATTTGCACAGTTTAGTATGCAAATGTAAACAAAACAAATTTTAGAAAGGATTTTTTATTAATCCAACGGAAAAACCTTCATTAGATTCGACGTACTTTACACCATCTAAGTCAGGAAGTATGCCGACGATCAGGCAAAGATGAACAGTACTTTATAAATGCCGTTCTTTTTGAGAACCTAAAAACGTTCACATCTGTCTAATTTCGTATCCTAACGTAAACAAAGCAATTTCTAAAGAAGTGACGAGTTTTTACTGTTTTGTTTACGTTAGAATACAAAACTAGACAGATATGTTTTGAGGTTTTGAGAGAGATTTACATTTATCAGACATTATTCAACTTTACGCAAACTATATGTCTGTTCAATTTTACTAGGTAGGTTAACAGGTTGATTTCGTCTGTCTCTTCACTATATCCAGTGTGTATCAAATTTTCCAAGCCCTCTTTCCTCATTATGTGCCCTAGAAATTTCAACTATCTCGTCCTGATGTTAAGTATAAGTGTCCTTTTTGTTTTTATTTTCTCTAAAACTCCGTCGTTGTTTACAATTTCGGTTTATGGTATTCTCAGCATCCTTCTGCAGAACCACATTTCTATTACTTTAAGACTCGTCTTCATCTGTGAGAAGACTGACCGGCATTCACTGTCAAGTAGTAGGACTGATATTGCGTAACATTTCAGCATTCTCTTTTTATTTCAAACAAAATTTTTCTGTTCCCTTATACATTGCTTAGCTTTATAAAATGCATCTTTAGCTATATCATCATGCTTTTAGGAATTCAGTGTCGCACTTTTCGTTCTCTGTTGAAACCTTTTCCAGTTAAATGTTTATACTTGTTTGATTTTGGTATCTGCAATTTGTAATTTGCATGTTGGTCTGTTTCTTTTGCTGAATAAAGCATACATTCCGTCTTCTTGCGATTTTTCTTTAGTCCTTTCTTCTCTCTTTCCTTCATTACCTTCTGTCATGAGTCCTTACCTATAACTAAATAATGAACTCTTACTAAAACTATGTATACTACGCCTCTCAAGAGAGAGGGTCGAATCAAGCCGAGCCTCTCGACTTGACGGTCGAACTCTCTGCCTCTGAGCAGAGAGGAACCCGGACGAGGCTCCGCCGAAGTGCAGAGTCTCGTTCGGGGAAGTTGACCAACCCAATTCTGTTCTTTCAGTTTCTATGGGTATTTTTTGGCCGAGCCTACGGGCTCGGAAAACCCACGTAAAACTCGGCCTTGTGCCACATCTTCCCCTCGTGCGGGGGGAGCAAATAAATATCGAATCGAGTCGAGCTTCTCGGCTTGACCGTCGAACTCTCTGTCTCTGAGCAGAGAGGAACCCGGATGAGGCTTCGCCAAAGGGCAGAGTCTCATTCGGGGAGGTTGACCAACCAGATCCCATTTATACGGGTTCTACGAGCATTTTTTGGCCAAGCCTACGGGATCGGGAAACCCACATTAAACTCGGCCTTGTGCCATATGCAACCCTCGTGGGGGGGGTTAGATATTGAATCGAGTCGAGCCGATAGTAGTTCACTCCAAACCAGACTGACAGTCATACTAACAGCTTCCACATCTTGTATTATTATTTCGTGTAATATACCTTCGTTATTTCTACTCTTGTGTTCGTGTTGTTCTTCCTTGGTCCTAAGCTGAACCATAACACCTTCTGTTGGAGTTCTTGTAGTCTGCTACCAACACTGTGCCCTCTGCATATCTTATGCTGTTAAGATTGTGACCGTTAATAATGTGACCCGGTAGGACTTCTAATTCTCTCAGAATCGCCTCACCGTGTAGGTTGAAGAAGCCTGAGCATATAGACGGTGGAACCGGGTTTAGGACAGAATTTTAGAGAAAACAGCAGCAAAAGGGATATACTTTACATCAGAAGGAGAAACTAGAGATTTTTTTGGAACATAATTAGGAAAGAGGGCATGGAAAAATTGATACTCACAGGACAGATTGAAGTCATGGGGGCTGTGGAAAACAATATATAACCTACCTAGAGAGTTTGAGTAAACGGATGGTGGAGCAGGATTTGGGAGAGATAGTAAACATACAAAATTTATTAAGAGCTACAAAGGAAAGGAAAATGTGGAGAGATATGATCGCTATGTCCTGAAGGGACAGGGTATATAGAAGAATAATGTGCTGGAGTAAATCGATGGAGGGACAGGTTTAAGCAGAGATAACAAATAGAAATCATTTATTAAAAGCTACAAAGGACTAGCAATTGTGGAGAGCCATGATCGCCAACGTCAGAAAAGGACACAGTACATAGAAGAAGAAGAAGAAGAAGAAGAAGAAGAAGAAGCTTGAGTAAATGGGTGGCAGAACAGTGTTTAGGAGAGATAACACAAAGACATAATTTATTAAGACCTAGAAAGGATAGGAAATTGTGGAGAGTCATAATCGTCAATGTCTGGAAGAGACACGGCACAAGAAAAAGTGCTTTAGTAAATGGATAGCGGAACAGGATTTAGGAGAGAAAACAAAAAGACATAATTTATTAAGAGTTAGAAAGGACAGGAAACTATGGAGAGTCATGATCGACAATGTCCTGAAGGGACATGGCTATAGAAGAAGAAGAAGAAGAAGAGTGAGCTTGAGTAAATGGATGGGGTGGGAGTTTAGGAGAGATAGTAAGAAGACAATTTATTGAGAGCGAGAAAGGACAGGAAATTGTGGAGAGTCATGATCGCCAACGTCTTGAAGGGATATGGCGTATAAAAGAAGAATGTGCTTGAGTATATGGATTGCGAAACAGGTTTTAGGGGGGTTAACAAAAAAAGTAATTTATTAAGAGGTAGAAAGGTCAGGAAATTGTCCAGGGATATGGTCGCTACGTCCTGAAGTGACACGGTTCATAGAAGAAGGTATGTCTTCACTGGTCTGTAAATAGCAGTAAAAACTATTTGGTTTGTGATGAATACATTGAAAATAGAAAATACATGTTTTATAAAAACGTATAAGTTCGCAAACAGCAGCAAAAGTGTCAATAGAAATAAAGAAAGAGATAGTTACCAAATCTGAGGGTCATGTCCATAGCGATTCCCGAATCTGTAATCTCAAAACTTGCACTGGTACTGACAAAAAATCTATATAGAAGAGAAAACAAAGTAATTGAACACATGATTGCCTTTCTGAATTTCCTTCTTCACACACTGTAACGCTTAATCAATTGTAAGGTCTTCAACTTGAAAAGACGTACCATATATACTCGTGTATCAAGGGCACCTCAAGGCGTTGTAGTGGTTAGCATGCTTGTCTTGCTAGAACAATTATTACTGAGTGAGTTCGATCCTCACTGGGTGCTTTCTACCTTCGGCCTTGTGCCACATCTAAGCTACGCTTGGAAAATCAATATACTCGTGTATCATGCGAACTTTGAAGACGTAATTTTGAATCTATTTGACTACAGTAAATGGATATATAGTATGGTCAACGACGTAGCCAGGGTCAGCGATACATACGCTAATTTTATATCACATGTATAATGTGGCCATTTTAAAATTAGCTTCAATATTAGGTCCTCACATATCACACGATACCCTAGTATATACGGTATATACATATATATATCCCTATATAAAATGAAATGACTATCCTTGTATCTTTCTCTCCCTCTCTTTCTCTCTCCATATATATATATATATATATATATATATATATATATATATATATATATATATACTCGTGTATCATGCGACCTTTGGACACCTAATTTTGATGAAGCATATTTGACGACAGTAAATGGATATATAGTTTGGCCAACGGCGTAGCCAGTGCCAATATATTTGATCATTTTATACCTTGTATATGATGCGACCTCTAATTAGCTTGAAAATATCTTCAAATGTTGCATGATACGTGAATATATATATATATATATATATATATATTATTTATATTCAAAAACAAATACAAAGGTTAATGATTGATTGGCGAGAAATCCATCGTCGCGACGATGGATTTCTCGCCAATTAAATCATTAACCTTGCATTTGTTTTTGCATGAATAATTCATGAATTTGTAAATTAATTGCACCTTTATTGAAATATATATATATATATATATATATATATATATATATATATATATATATATATATAAGGTAAAAAAAAAAATTGTTAGAAAGATTCTGTAGCAAAAAATTTATTGTATAGTCTAAAATGATGATTGGACAAAAGGTACCTAATATTTTTATATAGTGATATTTATTTATAATATATGAATTTTTGCAGAGAAGAATAAAAACTTTGTTAAAATTGGATTTTCAGTGGGTTTTTTTAGAAAAATAATGTGTTGTTTCCTTTTTTTAAAACTTTTTTTTCTTAACCGGTTTTGCTTAGCTTTTCAAAAAGTTTTTAACTGTTTCTACGTCCACGTATTGAAGTTTATACCAATGAAAAAGTGAAAATCAAGTGGCGTAACTGGCTATATATGTCGTTTATGGCGAGGCGAATTTTGTAGAATCTATTTATGCAATGAATTAAGTATTGGTTTGGACTTATTGATGAAAAATATTTCCTTATTAATCCATATTAATATATATGCTCACCCACACAAACATACACTTATATTTTATTATATCCCAAAATAAAATGCAATGTCTATCCTTGTATCTCTCTGTCACTCTCATATAACAATGGACTTAACCTTCAAGATAGGACATCTAACGTAGACCTGTTTAACAAGTGTAATATTGGAGAAATCGAGATTTTTCTCATATACTCTCAGTTACGGTAGACTGGTCATGTCTTGAGAATGTCTGATGACAAGATACTAATGTACAGCCAGTTAGATCAGGGCTACAGGAATGTAGGACGTCCATGGCTAAGATACAAAGACAACCTGAAAAGCAACTTGTCAGCTGTCAATATACCACATAACACCCTTGAGCGCTTAGCCTTGGAGCGGATAGAATGGAGATCAACTTGTTTTAGTGGACTCAGCAATTTTCAATCCTCTTGTCCGAATCATCATCAAGAAGCGAGAGCAAGATCTAAAAGGTCAGCCAATCTAACAGTGATCTCATTTCACAATCCTCAGTCTACTCCATATGTGGCCTACTTTATAAATCACTAGCGGGTCTTAAATACCACTTAAGATTATCGCACAAAATTTCATAACTGAATCAACTAAGCTGCCAGATCCTTATACGTCGAAACCAACGGAAGAGTCTATTATATATATATATATGTATATATATATATATATATATATATATATATATATATATATATATGTGTGTGTGTGTGTGTGTGTGTGTGTGTGTGTGTGTGTGTGTGTGTGTGTGTGTTGTGGTAGGATCCACTTAATTTGCATAGTGGAGTACCGACCATATAAATATGGTTCGTACCGGGAAGACGGGGGAGGAATCAAGAGATTCAATCCACAGACTCTGCCCGACTGTGACTAAGTCAACACATTCTCCAGGAACGGTCTTACCAGGAATATACAAAAGACTATATGTAAATATTGTGTACACTTTCTTGTTTCAATACATTTTGTTCTAAGTACATTTTGTGTTGCATTATTATTCCATGCATTAGTTAAGTTTCAACAATATATATATATATATATATATATATATATATATATATATATATATATATATACCTAATTTTGAAGCTAATTTGACTACAGTAAATGGACATACATTTTGGCCAAAGGCGTAGGCAAGGCCAGCAGTATATACGATAATTTTATACCTCGTATATGATGCGAGCTTCAAAATTCGGTCATCAAAAGTCGCATGAGACGCAAGTATATACGCTAAAAAAGAATGTCTTCTTTGTAGGGGAAAGCAAAAGCCAGATGGAACAGAAATCTTTTATATTAATCCATGGAAAATGAGTTTTTATACTTTCATCAACGCTTATCGCACATCTTGTTTCATTACATTTTTCTTTAAAAGATGCATGCAACACAGGCAGGGGTATTATTTTAATGCAAAGATGCAAGTAACACATGTAATGACATTACTTTAATGGAAAGTTGCATGTAACACAGCAACATTATTTAACTATAGAGATACATTTAATATGGGTAGGGGCATTATTTTAATACAGAGATGCAAGTAACAATGCAGAAAATAAGCTATAAGCAATCCTACAGTTGGTAATTGGAAAGCAAGAGGTAAGGACTAAATATCATTTGCAAGATCATTGAATTAGTGATTGTGAGAAAAAGTGACACACCAACAAGTTAATTACAAATTGGAGATGCCAAAATCAAAAAGGTGCAACAATTTTATTTATATGAGAAGCATATTAACAAAAACATGAAAAGTGTCATACAGAAATACGAAGACGCCTTGCGATAGGGAAAGATGCCTTCCAAAAGCTGAGCAAGGTATTAAGAAACAGGAAAATATTCTTAGAAACTAAGTAAACAGGACTGAACTATAATATCAGTCCCCCTATATGGCAGTGAAAGTTAATATCATATTAATATTAAGTGAACTGTAATATCAGTCCCCCTATATGGCAGTGAAAGATGCACAATTTCCTCAGAGATAAAAAAGAGACTTGAAGCAGCAGAAATGTGGTTCTACAGAAGGATGCAGAGGAAACTAGGAACTGGACCTGTGAACAACGACGAAATTCAAGAGACAGTGACACGAAAAGGATAATTCTACTTAACATAAGAAAAATACAGTCGATGGGGCAAATAATGAGGAAAGGAGTCTTGGAAATTTTGATACTCACAGCACAGATTGGAGGCATGAAACACAGAGGAAAGCAATACACATCCTACATGGAGAGCTTCAGTGAATGAATGGTGGATCAGGGTTTTTAGAACATGCAAGATTTATCAAAAGACAGATGTTTTCATCATGATTATTCAAACTTAATAGTTTCTTTTTCTTTTCTTTTTTCGGAAGATTGAGAATCTAAAATTAAAAAGTTAAGCCTATCTCTACCAATAGAAATAGAGGAGAATCATCATTTAAAAAGTTAGTGACAGAAGACAAGTAACTATATCAATGAACCAGGAACGACATATTGCCACCGTAAAATTCCACTCACTACTCCAGAACAAGGAATTTGACATGAGAACTAATGTCCCGCTACTAGTTAATTAGATTTATTTGTAAGTACGAGCTTTGCATACTAAAACCAAATATGCTCCCATAAAGCTTACACATGTCACTTATAACCGTTATTTGCTGTTCACATTCATTCTATTTTTCCTAGAGCGCCAGTGTTCCACTTAATAAATAGTTATATTTTGTTTTATAAATTCATATTTGTGTTTGTTCATACTTCTGTAGTTAGAAGTGTTGCTATCTTAGCGTTAACTAAACAAATTGTAACCATTACACCCTCTACACATCTGTGGAAAAATGAGTAAAAAGGATTTGTAACCCACTCCCCGCGTTGGTTACTCCCGACTACCGTGGCTAGCATCTAGCTGACTCCTCACTCGTTAAGGCGTTGCTGATTCGTCGCTGGTATTGTGCTGGTGAGCGCGGTTCCACTCGATCAAGCTGATATTTGTCTTCGCTATATTTCACTCCTCTGCCATGCTGTGCTTTTGATCTTAGTGTCTGAGAAAATCTCTGATGAAGTAAACTGAAGCAAAGGACAGGTCAACGGCGAAGAGCTACACAGAAAAGAATTCTTTGACGTAAAGAATCAACTGGATCGACCAGACCATGCAGCCAACCGTCTGTGGTCACTCCTGGAAGAATTTAGAAAACGCTATTATAGTCATATTGTCAAGTGAAAATTACGTCAAGTACTATGACGCGTGGAAATATTATTGTTATTGTTGTGTTGACAGATTCAACCATTTTCTTTTGATTTCGTGATGCAGTTGTGTACGTTTGCTTGGGATAGTAATAATTTTGTTAGGAAAGGTGAAATAGGGAAAAAGCCTGGGCGTGGATTAATATTTTTCTTATTTCACCTTTCCTAAGAGAATTTGACAATATGAATATAATAGCGTTTTCTAAATTCTTCCATTTGCTAAGGACATTTTGTTTTGTTATTATGAGTTACTTTGTTTTCAATAAATTCATTTCGTTTTTGCCTTGAAAAAATCCACACTGAACGAAACGCGTCGGCTAATATTATAGTTTTCCTATTGTCTTTTACATTTATAAATATAGATATTTTTGTTAATATTACGCGCGTAGATCATTATTATGCATACCATGTTATATGGTATAATATATATGTTTTTATCATTTCATGCCAAGCAAGTCGATAATGTCACTAGGATGTAAGATGTTACCGTTAGTGAGAGAGAATAAGACTTTAGTAAAAAGAAAAGAACAACGGAAAAACAGAATTCAGGAAGACAGAATATGGCGATTAATATTGCATTTAAATTTTTGAAGATTTTAAGTGGCAAGGAATCAGGGAATTGGTAGTGTAACCCGGATATAAGAGAGTTGTCGTGACCGGAGAAGTCTCTTATATCCGGGTTTCTCTTATATCCGGGTTTGGTTTAATTTATATACATTAACACAGGCTTTAATTTGGGGCCCAGATAAAATCTCTCTTATATCCGGGTTTCTCTTATATCCGGGTCTCTTATATCCGGATTACACTGTGGAGATTTTGAAAGGTGCGAAGTGCGAAAAAAACTATAACATATAATGGTTACAGTTTTTTGCGTACCCTGGTGTATTAGTGAGCCAGCCAAAATGAGCTGTCTCATTTGATAGTTCACCCGTAGAAGGGTTAACCAGTCAGAAGGCTCAAAATATTCAATGCGTTGTGTATAAAGGCGGCCATGTTTTTCCCGAATATTCACTGCCAGCTTTTGATAACCCGGACGAGGCCCCGCCGAAGGGCAGAGTCTCGTTCGGGGAGGTTGACTGCCCCCGTTTATACGCGTTCGAATAGGGAATATTTTTGGCCAAGCCTACGGGCTCGGAGATCTCACGTTAATCCCGGCCTTGTGCCACATGTAACCCTCGTGGGGGTGGCTAAATATCACTGCCAACCTTTCATATCGAAGACTGAAGAATTACGGAACAGCTGCTGGTGGTATTGACGATATAGTCAGATTCAGTAGAGTTTCTGACTCGTGAGTGTTAATCTTTAACGTTGCTTCATTGAACAGATTACGTACTGCGCTGTATTCTATATTCATAGACTATGGTGAACATGGTCAACAACAAATAGTTATTTTAACAATAAAACGAAGAAGACTAGTCAACACAAATAGTATAGTTATTATAAGTCGAGGTGCCAGCAGGGAAACTTCATTAGAACAACTGCTATGGAAATATTTATAGAAAAGGCATAATGAAGCTAGATTATGGCAGTTGAAAGTAGGCTGAACTCAACATGCCAGATCAGATCTGATAACATCATAGACCTTTATTTGGATTTTATTGAGAATCTTGATATATATATATATATATATATATATATATATATATATATATATATATATGTGTGTGTGTGTGTGTGTGTGTGTGTGTGTGTGTGTGTGTGTGTGGAACGCCAGACCAGATATGACAGAAATATTCAATACACGGACAAATGGTAGATTTATTAATGTGCAAGACGGGTTCTGATTAGAAAAATTGTGTCACGTCAGAGTGAGCCAATTTTCCTAGCAGCAGACCTGGCAATTGATTCAATACGATCATTCCACAAGAAGGCACATAGAATTGCTCTCCTGGAAGTTAGCATGCTGATAGCAGACAGAAAAAAATTCTGTATGGTGATTAAATGCAACCAGTTTTTATATTTATTCAAACAATAAAAAAATACTTCCTGTAAAAAACTTAAGACGGATATCTCCTGTAAAAAACACGTTGACACCAGCGATTTTGTATCTGATACCTTGTGCAGGTAGAAAAACCACAGAATGGGATTTTATATCAAATGAGTTTATTTTCATGCTGTAATAAGAAAATTGATTTTTTTTAAATATTTGAGCAGCACTGGTTAAAAAAAACATGTACAAAAAATAACAACTGTAATATTTTAAACACATAATGAGGAAAGGTTCTTGGAACATTTAACCCTTACATAGCATCTTGAGGGCAAGACAGATAGAAGATGTCAGCGAGCCATTTACCTTATGAGTTTGTAAGAATGGATAGCGGAGCAAGAGTCTTAGCGAAAAAAGAAAAACTGCTAAGAGCTACATATGATAGAAAGTTAGGGAAGCCATGATCACAGACGCGGCATATAGGAGAAAATTCAAGTTTACCTATGCATTTTACAGACAATAGCACAGTTTCCCAACATTATTTGTGTCATCACCTACTTTCACATGGAAAAATTTTCCACACCCCATCTGTATAGGAAATATTCAAAACAATACCAATTTTTTTTGTTAAAAGTTTGTTACTAGTTCGTAAACTAACTTTATGATGTAATAAAAATACCAAACAAAGTAAGAAATAATACTGTCTTATTTAGAGGCAGCTGCTGCTACCATATTAAAGAGCAAATGAAAGAAAACTTGACCATTGTAAATTATATATATAATCTAGTTTCATGGTCAAGGTTAGTTTTATGGTTAGAATTGGCGTTGCATGTTTGACAATGAATTAAACTTTTTTGGTCATAATTCTAAAATTCTAAAATATACTCTACTAGCAGCTAATAAAAATTCAGCTGACTATAATCATTGGAAAATACGAAAACTTAAGGAATCAGCGCACATGCTAAGCCACGAAAATCTTCTAAGATTGCCAAGTATAGACATGAATACAATGTGGGAACCAGTAATATGGAGTGCAAGACAAAAAGAATAATTACAACAAATTTTAATATGACCTCTGGTAAAAATTTCTTACTATGACATTAGGTTTATAAGTCCTAAAAAATCATGATACATGGATCAGTGGATAAAAGCGTTGGTAATTCAGTACTTGGCCACAAGGTAATAACTGAAACTGTGATCTCCGGAAGAGGCATGACACGTGGAAATAGAACAATGTAAAGGATTCAGTTCGAAGTTCCAATCGGCTGAATACCGCTAGAGTGTAAAACGGCCGAAAGGTTGTGAATATGACAGCAAAGATGAATGCAACAGTCCGAACATCTCAGAAATATATATATAATTTTTTTTTTTTAAGCATTTCACCCCAAGCAAGGCGGGAAGCCACTAGGACGCAAGGGGTTACAGAAAATTTAGAGCAAGATCAGATAGGAGTGATAGAAGAAAGGATGAGGAGAAGGATAGTGGATAGATCAAGGCAACTGGAGATGTCGATTGACATTACACTTGAATAGCTGGAGATTATAGCTCACAGGGAAACAGGAATAGGGAAGGGAGTTCCACAGGCGAGAGGTGCGAGACATGAAGCTATTGGAGCGACATTTAGGAGTTTCGACAGTGAAGGGGTGAGAGCGGGATGCCAGCATCGTATAGATAGAATATGTTTTTGCTGTTTCTTTATCTTGTCTGATTTACATCCGAAAAAGAAGAACTATTTGAATGTTAATGAGACTTCTTAAAGCTATAGAAAATACCAAAATTTTCATTGATGCAAGGATACTTATAACTTATCTAATATGACCCAGTTATTCTTATTTTGACTCCTGATATTTTTTCTTTTTTTATACAGTTATTTTTTTTTCATTTCTTATTTGAATCTTCTTATTCAGCAGATGTTAAAATATCTATTTAATACTCAAAATTCTATATCGCCCACCAAATTTCCAGTCGCCCACCATTTTCATTTCACTTGCTCATTGACCACCCAACAGTTGAGATCGCCCACCAATGGGCGATATAGCCCAGGTTTGGAAACCCTGGGCTATAGGTTCCATAGAATTATTTGGAACTTATCAATTATATTTTATTACGAGTTTAACTTGCTTCTTTTTAATACCATATCTTGTCAGGATGTACGTGATCACAGTCCCCACAGCTTCGTGTTCATTGTAACTAAGCATTATCATCTCATTAAATAATGCTTGTGTCTCTCTTCGCCTCACTATGTTTTATGAGTGTCAGTTTCGCCAAGCCTTCCTTCCGTATTAAACATTAATTTCAACTATTCTTTCAGATTTCAAGCATGTGCTTTTTGCTTCTATTTCCGTTAAAGCTTCGACATTGCTCACTTGTTTCGTCTATGATACTCTCGGAAACTTTCTCTTGGTCAGTACTTAGATGAGTAAGTGATGGAAATGCCAGGGGCTATGATCCTGGAAGTGTGTGTCCTATAAGGGACAACGGCTTGGAATTGTTAATCGAAGATCCGAGTTCCACCTTCATTTAGGTTTGTTATATTCACTTATGTAAAAAATACCGTTGAGAAAGATAAGAATCCACCTCTTCCCCCCAGCAATGGGTCAATTAGTAGGACTTGTATCAGTAAATCATTATTATCTCAAAAAATTTTTTTTACAACCTAAAATTATTTCCTGGCTTTAAATAGCCTGAAAAGGGTTGATAAACAATAAATATAAATCACTCAATGAAACACATCACCCTTAAGCAGAACCTTATCACTACTGCAGGTGCTTTAATCGGTAATGGCTCGGAATTGGAAATCAGTTAACCGAGTTCCAATTCCAACTGAGTTTATTATGTTCATTTGCACGCAATTATACTGGCGTGCAAAGTATATATATATATATATATATATATATATATATATATATATATATATATATATATATATATATATATATATGTGTGTGTGTGTGTGTGTGTGTGTGTGTATTTAGGCATTTAGGCAGCAATTTTTCATTATGCATGTTTCATTAAATAATATAGACAAGTGTTGTCTGTTTATTTTATGTAATTTTTTTTTCATATCGTCTGATAAGGTTAGTAACATTATCATTAAACGAAGAAAGAAAATCACAATATTGATACATATTTTTAATCCTATCTAAGCTTTGATAATGGCTTATGTAAGCCGAAAGCTTAGATAGGATTAAAAAAATAGGTATCAATATTGTGATTTTCTTTCTTCGTTTAATGATAATGTTATTAAGCTTATCAGACGATATGAAAAGAGTTTACATAAAATAAATAGACAACATTTGTCTATATTATTTAATGAGACGTGCATCAATATATATATATATATATATGTGTGTGTGTGTGTGTGTGTGTGTGTGTGTATGTGTGTGTGCAGGTATGTAGAAAAATAAGAAAGAACACGTTAGATAAATAATCCAGGGTTCCATTGGCTATTCCTAAATTTTTGCTTGAGGATAAAACAGGGTTTGTTACTTTAATTCATTTTAATTTTAATAATTATATTGATGGTTTCGGCTGTCGTTTTTGAAACATAGGAACTCTTATGTAGCGAAGGAATCATATTTTTATATATATATATATATATATATATATATATATATATATATATATATATATATATATATATATAACCTTTAAACTCAAGGACAAAGAGCACATAGTACAGTACAAACAATTTCCAGAAATATCAAGTACATACTTTCACATTTTTTAAGAAACCTGATAAAATAGCAAAGTAAAAGATAATATTAGCCGTTTCCTTATAAAGAAACATCTGGTAATCACTGACTGAGCAAAGAATACTACTCGAGTTATGCCTTTCTTCAGTCCTTAGCCATTGGAATGGTATCAAACTGTAGTAACTGTTTTCATTCATACTGGTAATGTTAATGCCAATATTAGGCGTTTCCTTATAAGGAAACATTTGGTAATCATTGAACAAGCAACGAATGCTACACGCGTTATACGTTTCTTCAGTCGTTAGCCATTGGGATGGTATCGAACTCTAGTAACTGTTTTCATTCTTACTGGTAATGTTAATGACAGTATTTGCTGTTTCCTTATAAAGAAATTTTGACCTTCATTGACCGAGCAGCCATTGCCACTATCAGTTAAAGTTTATAAAATGCTTCCATTCAAACAATATTTCAGGAAAATATGTTTCTCAAGTGTAATCACTCTTTCCAGTATTGATGGGAGTTTCCTTCCTAAGCTTTTGTTTGAAGTTGTATGGAATGTCAACATCTTGATTATGTCATTATTTCTCTTCGAGTTACCTGTAATATCCATTTTAGTTGGTCTTTTGTTAAAAGATCTTAAGTGATGTAGTTTTTGCTACCTGGAACAGTTATCTGTTTAGATTCTATTTACATTATTCAGACCATTGTCCTCATCTTTTTAGCCATATTTATTACAACGTTTCGGCCGTTGTACGCTCGGCCCTTCTTCAGGTGGTTGGAATGTCGAACTGAACCATTTATTTCGCTCACTGGGGTAGACTGTTCTAGTTCCACGTGCCATGTCTAATGGATGTCAGTTATCAGTTATCTCCTGCTAATTCCCCTCTCCAAGTTCACCACTGCCTTAACCGGGTATTGAACTCACACTCCTTGGGTCCTGTCACTGGATCTAACCAACGCTTTTATCCATTGTTCCGTTCGACATTCCAACCACTCGAAGAAGGCTGGAGAGTATAACGGCTGAAACATTGTAATAAATATGGTGACAAAGATGAGGACAATAGTCTGAATAATGTAAATAGTGTACATAATACCTCATCTCAGAAATATAGACAGATACTGAAAGGCTGAAACGTTGTAATAAATATGGCGACAAAGATGAGGACAATAGTCCGAATAATGTAAATAGTGTACATAATACCTCATCTCAGAAATATAGACAGATACTGAAAGGCCGAAACGTTGTAATAAATATGGCGACAAAGATGAGGACAATAGTCTGAATAATGTAAATAGTGTACATAATACCTCATCACAGAAATATAGACAGATACTGAAGAGCCGAAACGTTGTAATAAATATGGCGACAAAGATGAGGACAATAGTCTGAATAATGTAAATAGTGTACATAATACCTCATCTCAGAAATATAGACAGATACTGAAAGGCCGAAACGTTGTAATAAATATGGCGACAAAGATGAGGACAATAGTCCGAATAATGTAAATAGTGTACATAATACCTCATCTCAGAAATATAGACAGATACTGAAAGGCCGAAACGTTGTAATAAATATGGCGACAAAGATGAGGACAATAGTCCGAATAATGTAAATAGTGTACATAATACCTCATCTCAGAAATATAGACAGATACTGAAAGGCCGAAACGTTGTAATAAATATGGCGACAAAGATGAGGACAATAGTCCGAATAATGTAAATAGTGTACATAATACCTCATCTCAGAAATATAGACAGATACTGAAAGGCCGAAACGTTGTAATAAATATGGCGACAAAGATGAGGACAATAGTCCGAATAATGTAAATAGTGTACATAATACCTCATCTCAGAAATATAGACAGATACTGAAAGGCCGAAACGTTGTAATAAATATGGCGACAAAGATGAGGACAATAGTCTGAATAATGTAAATAGTGTACATAATACCTCATCTCAGAAATATAGACAGGTTTCCGATTCTGTCCACAAGATTCAAAGAAGCGTGGTCTTCCCCAAGACCAAGAGGTTTGACTCAATCAAAGCCATTTTAAACCATTGATCTGAGAAAGTAGTTGTATAGAGCTGATAGTTTTGATATTTCTCAATGGGTTAGGCACGATATCAATATGACAGTTTCGATCTGCCGAGACTATATAAGAACATGTCTTCTGTTTTCAGGTTAATGTTTCAGTTTTGTAGCAATTGATGGTATTGGGAAAAACTATCACTAGAAAAGCCTATTCTACATTCAATTTCCTTTGCTAATTTCATTGTAAATACATACACCGAGAAATGAAGTTTGGCAAGATGTCAAGGAAATCCAAGGAATTATTTTTATGACTAAGTATTAACATGTATGAATAAAAGATTTTGTTAAATGGAATATTTTGTATCATCCAAATGTGATGGAATACACAATTTAGTTGTTGTTTGGCATAAGATCATAGAAAGCTGGTGCAAATAATTTGTAGATTAAATAATGATGGAGCTTATAGTAATGGCACTGAAGAAGAATTGATAGGCATAACTTGCTGATAAAGAGTTTAAGAGATTAATCTTTCAATACTTACTTTTTAATCCAATAGTGTATCCTACCAGTTTTACCATCTGTATTTGGGATTGAAGCAGCCTGGATTTCTTTTACAGCTTGCTTGATACCAATATTGCTGGCTAGAATGTTCAAAATTAAATATATGTTTTAATCATTTAATATAAACATAGAAAAATCTGAAAATGTTTACAAATATTCTATAATATTGAAATGCACAATAGTGATTGATCACAATCATTAATTGATTGATTTTTTTTTGTAGCAGATCAATCTTTTGCAAATTATTTCAAACCAGAAAATATTTTTACATTGTAAGAATTTTTTTGCCGGGGGTGGGGATGGATAATAATGATTTTACTTATAAAATGTCTTATTAATCTTATTAAATGAGCACGTGGCTGTAGTGGTTAGGATGTTCGCATTCCAGGGTTCGAATCTCACCATGGTCGATTTGTCAGGAAGGAAACTTCCTGATGTTATTCGATTGGATGGGTCGATCCCAGTGTGCGAAACTTTTGGAAAATGCATGAAAATCATACAAGGCTTGTGAGTGAAATTGCGGAGTGAAATTGGGGCCGTCGATAGTTGTGCTAGCACGTAGACACAAGTCATCGTGGACGAGGGCTTGAGCGTACTAGTCTTGTTAAAATTATTGATCCCGCTAGACGCTCTCTCCCAGAAACTGGAACTAAGGTCTGCTCAGCATAGTTGCAGTATAAACCACAAATGGGCTCTGTGGGTGTTGAATAAAAACAAAAGCGTCTGCAATAGGGGTTGGCTAGCGGTCCTAATTGACGAGTGTCCTCGAATATGAGGGGTCATATTAATTACCCCATAACTGGAAGGAGAAGAGTTGGTTCCATACGTTTGCCAAGGTTATTTGTGTATAAGTGAATATAAGGAAACCCGCTGGAACTGGAAAACGACTCTCAGATTTTCAATTCTGAGCTTTTATCCATTACAGTGTTTGTGCATCCAAACTTACAGCACCTGATATTCCCAAGCGGTCACCCATCAAGTTGCTGACCAGTTTCGAAATTTCTTAACTTTCACTTCATGAACTAAAGCGCAGTACTAGATTAGTGACATGATTTAATCACTTTATCCTTAAAAAGTCCAGATGTTCTATACTAACAGATTCTTCTTTCACGATTCTCGCTTCTCTTTTAGCTTTTGGCTTCCCTCTCAACTATAAATTCTCAGATATAAATGAAATATCAATCGTTACCTTCTGTTTTATTAATTTCTGTTCTTTTATTGTTCTCTATCCTTAATAGTTTTTTCTTATATTCTTTAACACTCATTACGGCTTAATGGCGTTATTGTCTTGCTTGGGGTGAAATTATTAAAAAAGAATTATATGATGTCACGACTATGCCAAAAAAAAAAAATCACCAACTTGATTTCCCAAGTATCCCAGTTTAATGCTCATATGACATAAAACTGACCAAAGTAGAGCAGTAAATAGCAACGAATATGAGATGAAGAGAAAAGAAATATTCGAAAATGAATAATGGAAGGCGTTTTTTTCAACTCTTAACTCCTTCCATTATTATTCCAAATCAAACGTTAAGCAGTCGGAATTTATTGAAATTAACTACTCATGTTAGGTTACTCGATGAGTTCTATATACAATATAAGTGCTACATGCCATATGAGTTCTATATACCATATAAGTGCTATATGCCATATGAGTTCTATATACCATATAAGTGCTATATGCCATATGAGTTCTATATACCATATAAGTGTTATACGCCATATAAGTGCTATATGCTATATAAGTGCTATATGTCATATGAGTGCTATATGCCATGAGTGCTATATGCCATATGAGTTCTATATGCCATATAAGTGCTATATGCCAAATGAGTTCTATATACCATATGTGCTATATGCCATATGAGTGCTATATGCCATATAAGTGTTATATGCCATATGAGTTCTATATGCCATGTGAGTGCTATATGCCGTATGGTCAGGTTATCTGCGAATTAGCCAGTTCCCTTAGTGTGGTCTTCCTAAATGGCTCGCTTAATTTCATAAGGAAAATAACGTTTCTTAGAATGTTTCGTTCTCATTTGTTCACTCACACACTCTCTCATACATAATCACATACCTAAAGAATGATTAAGTACAATATTTCTGAAATTTTGTAAAATTTCGGGGAAAATAACAATGTCTGCATTTTAAAACCATTGGCGATTTTCACTATGGAAGGCCATACGTATAAACATCTTTTGCTTTTGAAACATTCATGATCATTTTTCTCTAATATTTCTCATTGTCAAATGAAAAATTAGAAATAAATCACATGCAGCGATATGCTTTAATCTCACTATTTTCCGTGATAATATTAGACCAAGACTTGAATTTGTTGATCATAAAAACATCTTTAAAAAAAATAAAACTTTCCTATCGTCTTCTGTAGTGAAAATACTAATACGAAAAAATTTATTGAATCTTTTTAGTAGTGCAGCCCTCCGCCTTGTGATGAGCCATAGATCATGCGGCCCACTATTCGAAAAAGATTGCCCATGCCTGGTCTACGCCTATTTAGAACAATGATGTCGACTTGGCTCCATAGCTATATATATATATATATATATATATATATATATATATATATATATATATATATATATATATATGTGTGTGTGTGTGTGTGTGTAAGCAAATATATTGATATAGATCCGACAGTATGAAGAAACATATACGGAAAAAACAAACAAAAATCCTAATATGCAATTATGCTGTTTTAATGTTAATATAATGTCAACGCCGGACGTTTCGGTCTAGTAGACCATCTTCAGGATATATTCATAAAACATAATTAACATTAGACTATATTTAATTCAAAATGAAAAGACGATGGATATAAGAGTAAGACTAATCAAAACAGATAACTGAAATTTTTCAAGATCAGCGTTCCGTTTCAATATGATCACGTTGGCGTCACGTGGGCGATGTTGTGAAAACGTATTCCCAAAATAGAGTATTTTGAATGAAAAATGAAAAGAATTTTATTTTGATCTAAAACTTATGTGTTGTTTGTCGAGCATTAATCTCGCTAGAAAAGGGGAAATATTAAAGAAGCCAGGTCTAGTATTCACCCTGCGTGAGATAGATATTATGCCTGCCTCATAAATCTATCTCACGCAAAGGTTACCCAAAGTAATCAACGGCTAGTGTTTCTGCGAACAAAGCAAGCCACAAGTTTGAAGGACTAGATATAATTAAACCTTGATTGTGATGGGCTGTTTGCTAAGCTAGAATGAATACTTTTACTGAAGCGATACATGAACCCGATCATTTCACCTGCATCTTTAGCGACGGATCGTATATAAGAGTTCGACTTGAAGACCCGATATTCTCTGAAGGTACGGTACCTCCTCGAGTGGACATCCATTCATTGTGACTGGCGGTAGTTCAGGGTCTGCTAAGATTGATCCTAATGTTTATTCAAAAGAAGGCCTGAGAGTCACTCAAAATAGTGAGTTACTGAAAGAGATGTTTGGCATAAACGTAAGCGTAGAATCTATGACATAAACACGATGAGGATACGGAGGATAGATAAGGTTCGACCCTATATTTGAGCAGGTAAAAATCGCAGTGTTAAGCATACAGACGTTTCCACAGAATAGCGGTTCTGGGGAAGAAGCTTTCTGCGTTGAGCACCATTCTTACGAAAAGAATGAGAGCGATTCTTACGTAGGGTATGAGGGCGATTCAACCCTGTGGATATAGCAATGCGGGTAAATGGATGTAAAGGTCTGAACTGGTGGCAATAAAGAATGAATCTCGTCTGAACATTTAATAAGGAAGTAACGATAGGCTTGTGACGCTGCAACCTTAGGAAATATGGCTGCAGTGTGATAAATAATTTACCACACCCCATTCGGCCACGTAAACATATTTCGAACCCTGAAAATGAAATGAGAATTGGAAAACGTTAACCCAGATAAGATAATGCTCCATATTTGGTCTGCTTTAACTCGAGTAAAGATAAAGAATTTCAGAAGGAATCGGTTACTTTCTGAAATGGTAAAGCAGACGACCGTCTTTCCAGCCTCTACATTACTTAGTTCCACCGGCTTTAGCCTTCACAGCTAAAACTCGCCATACCACGCACGTTGTAGTGAACTACCTTTATTAGAAAGGACTAAACACCAGTTGTAAGATTCCACCTTGTTGCAATTCATGCTTAGTCTTTTTTTTCTCTTTCCTTTACTGCTGCAGATCATGTAGTTTTTTCTAAACTTAATGAAACGATAAAACCTGTTATGTTTACACAATCAGGTTTGTAATATAAATGAAAAAAAACCGCAAAAAATCCAACCCACTTCTCTAGTATGATAATATGGGAGTTGAGTCGATACATCGTCACTTGACAGCTTATAGGTCAGGTGTTCCAAGCAAAGACGATAAATGTTTTGTGTTAAGCATCCAATGAAAAGGCTTAGCCTTTGTTCGAGTGTTATTCAGCGTATTTAAATTGTTATCCTCTTAATATTGTTATGAAATCGTTTTAATTTTTGTTATTGTAATCAACGTCAGTGTGTAAATTGTAATTTCTTTAACACTTTTTAATTTACTCTGGGGCTATGTAATCTTCTTCTTTCGTGCGCCATACTTCTTCAGGTCGTTCATAATGTCACAGTTCTCCACTGTTTCCTGTCCTCTGAAGCTCCTAGTAAATTTTGTCTTTTTGCTATCTCTCCTAAAGGTTGTTCTACTATCCATTTACACAAGCTCTCTAGGTAGGTTACGCGCTTTTTTCTTTTGTCTCTCTTGCTTTTAATACATCATGTGAGTTTCAAATTTTCTAAGCCTCCTTTCCTCATTATGCGTCCTAGAAATTTAAGTTCTCGCTTTCTGATGTTAAGTGTCTTTTTTGTTTTCATTTTTTATCTGAAACGTTGCTCTTGTGTTCGTTTCATGCTATTCTCAGAATCCTTCTGTAGAGCCACATTTGCGTTGCCTTTTTTCATCGGTGAGAAGATTGTCCATCACCATATAGGAGAACTGATGTTGCATAACAGTTCAGTCATTTTTTTTCGATTCTAACGAAATTTTCCTGTTTCTTAATACTTTGCTTAGCTTTTGGAAGGCATCTTTCGATATCCCAATGCACCTTCGGATTTAAGTGTCACACTTTTCGTCCTCTGTTAAAACACTTCCTAGATAATTGAAATTTTGTACTTGCTTGATTTTGTGCCTCCAATTTGTAATTTCTTGAGCTGTTTCTTTTGCTGACAACCATACATTCTGTCTTCTTACAATAGTCCTTTATTCTCGCTTTCCTTTACTACCTTCTATAGGATTTCCTATAATTCCTTTTCTGTATCACTCTCTTATATGGCTTTGCCATAGATTTGAACAATATTCTCATCTATGCTATTTAAATAAATGTGAGCTACATTCCTTTTTATCGTTTTTCAATATATTTGATCAATACTATCGTAATTTTACAATATATTTGACCTTTTAATCTTGTTATGCAATGTAATATATGGTTCCTCCTATATAGCAGTAAATGCTGGACAATCTCCCCAAAGATGAAAAAAAGACAACAGACTTGTGGTTCTACAGAATGATGCTGAGAATACCATGCTTGTAATGTTTGTGAAGGAAAATTTTCAAGCATTGTAATTATATTTGAGGTTTATTCACACGTTTAGGGTTGCCAACAATTCCGTAAAATGAAAATATCCGGTAATCTGTTGTTTGCAAACCAGAAAGGCGCATATCCTTTGGACACTGAGTGATTCAATTTTTACGGCTTATCAACCCTTTGTTATTAAAACCCAGAAAATATTTTTAGATTGTAAAAGAGATTATTTTTGCTTGTATCCATTCGTCCATGCTTAGAATATTACTGCCATATATGGACTGATGCTCCTGTTATATATCTAGATATCCCTGAGAAAATCCAAAGAAGAATCAGCGATATTATTGGTTCTTATCTGGCATCTCGGATTCAATCACTTTCCCACCGCCGTAAAGTTGCCTTTCTCTGTTATTTCTATAAATACTTTCATGGTAATTGTTCGGATGAGCTCTCCGATATGGTACCTAGATTTATGAATTTAAGCTCTACTAGATTGTCGACAAGGCCTCACCAATTTACAATTGAATTGGATAGATGTATCCGTAAGTTCTAAGGTAACAGTTTCTTTTCTCGCTTGAAGAACTTCCTTTAGTTGAAGAATTTTTCATAATTATTGTTTAGTGTTTCTTTATCTTACTTTTGTTGTTTATACTAATACTATTCTTACTCTGCAGTAGTACATGTAATAGACTTAACCCCTTATCCGGTACAGACAGGTATATACGTTTTGTACCGAAACTATCTTTTCAGACAGGGACGAATAAATATGTCCAAGGCATAACATTCAAACACCAGCTACAGATGTGTTTACCCGTCATGCCGCTTACATAGAAGCAAATCTGTTCCCTCCGTATTTCATCGACCAGAAGTAATTCCACTCTAACAGATTCTTTCTGCGATCACTGCTCTGTGGAACTGACTCCAAATTGAATGTTTCTCTGATCCCTAAAATTTTAACGTTTTAAAATTTATAGTAAACCGTTATCTTCTTCTCTTATCCATATAAACTATCCCTTAACGTAACCCTCTACTTTGAGTGGCTCCGGAGTACAGAGTGAACCTTACTGTAAAAATAAAGGACAAGTTAAAGACTAGTAGTAAAGAAGTGAGGAATTGAAAGAAATGACCGCCCTGTCAGTATCTCATAAATAATGATTTATTCGGGTTTGATCGCGAGGAAATACGGCAAAGATATATTAGAGACACTGTTTGGTTTCTAAATATAAAGAAAGAAAGAAAAAAGGAGTTAGATGAGGCTATAAAAGATGCTCTCAAGTGTTGAAGTGCAAAAACTTGTCAATTTTAAATCGTTTTATTTGTACTCCCTTACTTCTTTAATAACATACTTCATTCTTTAGTGCCACTAGGTCAGATCTTTACAGGCAAGGCCTTCCTTGCTGCGCACATAGATTTGATCTCCTTTATTCCGAGAACTGCAACCCTGTGGAACAGATTCCCGTGTCGATGCTTACTGGAGAACGACAATCATTACCACTTCATGGTTCGGGCTAAAAGTTTTCTATTCTTCAAAATTTTCACTTTTACCTTCACCCTCTTAACTTTATACCACACGCCTCATTATGTAGCCTTCTACATTCAGGACTCTTGGGCCTTCTATCGAGTGAAATTTACTTCTCTCTCCCGCCAAAAAATCTGAGACAACTGGATGACAAGAAGTTATGTAACCAAACTCAACCTGCGAGAGCTAAGTAAGAGTTGGTCACTTCCTTGCAACAAGAAAATCGAAGTTACCTACAAGATCCCCATAAAACCATATACCCTCAACGTATTCTCAACAGAGTCCAGAAGGGAATAAGCAAGAATTTTACCCATGAATAAGTTACTAACATAATGGTATAGCTTGAAACTTTTACAGATATCAATTAATTCATATTTTTATTGCCTTCAAGAATATTTTGAGAAAAATCGGCTCAACTGAGGCGTAATTTTTAATCTATAAAAGATGCCTACGCACTTTGTTAGACATTTCCATGACGGTCGTCCTTGAGTATTGAATCCAAGGGTTGGCAGTGAATATTTCGGAGACAGTGGGAACGCGTAGTGAAGGTTCGCATTGGATATCACAGCAGAGTATAGTTCATCCTTCTCCTGGTCGCCTTTGGTCCTTCCGGTAGACGAAACAAGATGGCCGCCTTTATACACGATGAATACAGTGTTGTGCGGCTTCTGATTGGTCAACCTCCCATTGGTCGACTATAAAGGGGAATAAGTCATTCTGCCTCGCTCACTAGTTATATACGTTATATACCCCAAAAACCGTAACACACTTTTCCAAAAAATAAAACACTCGGCCACATTATTTGACCAATCGGGTGTACAAAAAAAAAAAACAAAAAAAAAAACAACGCAGTCGCTTCGTAAGAAATTTGTGGAGCTAACACGCTTGTGCGTGATCCAATCAGAACATTTAAATAACAAGAATATTTTCAAACCGCTTCAGAACAGTTCACTTCTTAGGCAAGATGAATACAACTGTGTCTCACTGCAGCCTTTGAGCGCTGATCGAACAAAATTACGGCGCTCGACTCGGCGAGAATATTTTGACACCACGCTGCTGCTGCTATACAAAACACGAACGATTAATTTTGTGTAAAAGTCCTTGTGTAAAAGAGAAAAGAGAAGGTAAATAATAACTTTCTTTATTTTGTAGTACTCATGTTAATCGTTTTTTATTAACATTAGTACCCTACATATGTCTAAGCAAGGTTATGAATAAAAAATTAGGTTTTGTGCGGATAATCTGCTAATGCTTGCTTCGGGCGATGCAAATAAGGATGGATGCAAAATGTGATCCTGGGAAATAGAAAACAAAGAGGTTTCGACTGAGTAAGTAACGTAAAATAAGATACGGACAAAGGAAAGCTGAAAGAAAAGAAGAAAAAGAAAGGGAGGAACAAAGAGGGAAGAAAAGAAAGGGAAAAATAAGTGGAAAAGTCAAGACAAGAAAGAGAAAAGAGAAGAAAAAGGGAAAGCGAAGAAAAGAAAGAGGAAATTGAAGGAAGAAAAAAGATAAGAAAAGAAGGAGGAAGGGAAAAGAGAAGAAAAGGAAGGGAAAAAAGAGAAGAAAAAGAGAAAAAGAAGGAAGAGAGAAAAAGGAAAAGAAAAAAGGAAGAAACAAGGTAAGAAAGAGAAGAAAAATAGGAAAAGAAAGAAAAGAAAGAGAAAAATGAAGGAAGAGAGAAGAAAAGAAAAGAGGAAACAGAAGAAAGGAAAAATGGAAGAAAAGAAAAGAATGAAAAGAAAGAGAAAAAGAAGAAAAAAGAAAAAGAGGGAAAAGAAAGACAAAATTGGAAGAGAGAAAAACAAAAGAAAGACAAAATAGAAGATAGAAAAGAAGATATACAAGAAAAAAGAGAAGAAATGACAAGCAAAAGGGAAGAAGAGAAAAGGAAAGGAAAAATAGAAGGATGGGAAAAGAAAAGAAATGGAAAGAGAAGAAAATAAAGAGAAGAAAGAAAGGGGAAAATAGAAGAAAAGAACGGAAAATGGAAGAAAAAAGGAAAAAAATAATGAAAGGAAAAAGGTAGATGATTAAAAGAAATCAAATGAATGGGGGGGGTGAATAAATAGAAAATTAAAGAAAAACAAAAATAAAATAAATAAGGCGGGAAAAAACCCCAAAAAGAACAAAACAAATCCCCCTCCCTTAAAGAGGGAGACTGATGAAAATAAAAATAAAAACAAAAAACAAAAGCATAATCTCCAAATCAGATTTACGTCCCCAACTTCTGGGGTTCAAAAAAAATAACTGAACTATTGACGAATCCGTTGGAAAAGGCAATTAGACTTGCAAAATAAAGACCCTTCTTTAATACCTTGTTTTTCCTTCACAAAGACAAACCACAACGCTTTTTTGCTAACGGCACAACACTGATTAATCTTAATCATATAGCATTGACAATTTCTTTCTACATGAAACAAGAAAAATTATAATCAGAAACATCAAAAAACCACTTGCAGTACACGGCCAATATAAAACTTATACTTGACCTAATTTAGTATTTCGGAAAACTTCGTGCCCACCACTACAGTTTTTATATTGACACAGCTATTTTAACAACGTTCACTCCTCGGCAATGTTTATTGTTTCAAAAAGCGATGATTAAAATTGTAATAAAACATAAACATATGAAAGTGAATTTAAAAAAAAAAATTCTTTTTCTTAAAAATTGACAACAAAAATAATAAGCATTATTTGATTGTTTATTTACACTATTTATTTATTATAATCTTTATTGGAACGGCTGGCAAAACATCGGCTAATTGCCAATTGATTCAAACTTTATAAAATGGTGAATAATAAAGATTTGATTATAGTTCGTTCACATAGCTTAATAATTTAGTAAATGTTTTCAAATTTATAAATAAAAAAAATTGTTTTTATACTTATTACTTTATGAAATGGTACATGTTAAATATTGCATTCTATTAATTGTAATATAATTAGTTTTAGAATGTAGCAAATATAAAATTATTCTTGTAAATAAACAATCTAATAAATAGTGTTTAATATTTTGTAAATTCTCAGGAACAAAAGATATGTATATATTCTCTTTTGTCATGGGTTTAGTTTTATGACGATTATAATACTTACATTTTTTTAAGACAATTAACATTATGTGTCTATATTTCTGAGATGAGGTATTATGTACACTATTTACATTATTCTGACTATTGTTCTCATCTTTGTCATCATATTTATTACAACGTTTCGGCCGTTGTACGCTCCGACATTCCTCAGTATCTGTCTATATTTCTGAGATGAGGTATTATGTACACTATTTACATTATTCTGCCTATTGTTCTCAACTTTGTCATCATATTTATTACAACGTTTCGGCCGTTGTACGCTCCGACATTCCTCAGTATCTGTCTATATTTCTGAGATGAGGTATTATGTACACTATTTACATTATTCTGACTATTGTTCTCAACTTTGTCATCATATTTATTACAACGTTTCGGCTGTTGTACGCTCCGACATTCTTCAGTATCTGTCTATATTTCTGAGATGAGGTTTTATGTACACTATTTACATTATTCCGACTATTGTCCTCATCTTTGTCGCCATATTTATTACAACGTTTCGACCTTTCAGTATCTGTCTATATTTCTGAGATGAGGTATTATGTACACTACTTACATTATTCGGACTATTGTCCACATCTTTTTGCCACCATATTTATTACAACGTTTCTTCAGGAGATTGAAATGTCGTGCTGGACCCTTTATTTCGCTCACTGGGGTAGACTGCTTTAGTTCCATGGGCTATGTTTAATGGATGTCAGTTATCAGTTCTCCACTGCCTTAACCGGGTATTGAACTCTTTGGGTCCTGTCACTGGATCTAACTAACGCCTTTATCCACTGTGCCATGTGTCTTATGGAACTAGAACAGTCTACCCCAGTGAGCGAAATAAATAGTTCAGTTCGACATTCCAACCACCTGAAGAAGGCCGGTTCATACCACAAATAGAGGTTTATGCATTGCTCCTTATTTAGGATTGTCTTTTCGGTTCCTTCAAGTCGAAAGTCAGCCGTTATCTATTCTATATATCCTCAAGTAGTTCCTCTTCTTGCATCCATACAACAAACTCATTCATTAAATATCTACCTTGAATGACTCCTGGGTTTCGTAAAAAGTGAACATTTAGTAAATGATATATTAATTAATATATAAATTCCAGAGAAAAAACATTTAATGTCGGAAAATAAGGCTTGATATAAGTAACTACAATACGAATTAGAAAAACTATATAGTTAAATTGAAACCGCTTTCTAAAGCCTTTTTAAATTCGTACATAATCTGGGATTAACCAAACAGTGTCTGCCATTCACAAAGGTCATAAAACAAATAACAAACAACTAATAATCATTTATTTTAAGCTTGGAAATTATACAAAAAGAAAGAATGTTTTTTCTAAAACCGTCGATTCTTGCAACTGACAAAAATGATCTAAAATCTGTTGTTAGCTGGGGCAAGAAATGGCTTGTTAATTTTAATACCTCCAAAACGAAACTGATCGAATCACCTTGGAGAACTCGTTTTGCCTTCCATCAGTTTTCCGCTGAATTGAAGTGGAAACGTCATATTGAATCAGTTGCTAGGTCTGCTGCTAGGAAAGTTGGTTCACAGTGCAGTTCTTAATTTTTCTCACCAGAATCTATCTTACACGTTTATAAATCCACTATTTGTGCATGAAACGAAGAGTACGTTTACATCTCGTCTAGGGTTTCTGCTAAATATTTAGAGATTCTTGATAAAATCCAAAGAAGAATCTACAAATTTATCAGTCCTGACCTGGCATCTCGGCTTCGGTCACTCCCCTCCCCCCGATGCAATGCAGCTTCACTGTGCCTCTTCTATATTTTCATGGTATTTGTTCTGATGAGCTTTCCTTTTTGGTACCTTAAATTTACGAATTTAAGAACTAGAATGGCAACTAAGTCTCATAATGGTATAGTTGCAATGGTTAGATATAAACGTAAGTCCTATGCTAATAGTTTCTTCTCTTGCAATTTTCGCTTTTGGAACTCTCTTTCAGTCTCTTGCTCTCCAATCAACATTCATCTTCAACTATTTAAATACAATGTCAATCGTTATTTTCTGTCTTCTTATATTTCTGTACTTTTATTGTTCGCTCTCCTTAATCCTCTCTTATTCTTTCACACTCAGTGAACACTTGCGTCAAAAAGAAAACAGAAAAAAACAACTCCGGAAATAAAAACAGAATTTAGAGAGAGTGTAAGTATGAGGGGGAGGGAGATTAAACCTTAACAGAGAGAATATTAGGAGAGGTGGGTGGAAGGGGTTTAAGTAAGAGAAAAATGAATGTTGTCGGATTTCTAATGCATAAAGATGCATTCCATGGAATATTAGTGTTTAAGCCTTTTTATTATATCCTTACTCTGTCCTGGACATTGAGTTCTACCTGGATTCTATCATCTTGAAATTTTTATTCCAAAAATATACATGTATGGGTATTTATATATTTTGCATATGTATGTATATTTACCACTAATACTATCAATATATATATATATATATATACATATATATATATATATATATATATTCTTGTGCAAATGTTAAAAGAAAACACAATCTGTTACTGGTATCTAGTATCAGATAATAACATTTTGTTTGTTTTCTGAAAGACAATTGTAAATATCTTGTCGTCCGGTTCACGCTTCTCCTCAGTATTTTGAGCAAGAGTAGAGTTTTATTTCTTGCTTCCTGTTTAGGATTGTGTTTCAGGTTCCTTATAAAATCGACTTCTATTTACCTCTCCGACTGAACTCTGAAATGTTATTCACTAATTTTTTTTTTCATCCACAACTAAGATTAGGTTTGTCTTTTGCCCGGTTCACATCACTCCTGGTTCTTTTGAACAGGAATAGAGGTTTATTCCTTCTTTACTGTTTAAGACTGGATTTCCAGTTCCTTCTAAAGTCTACTGCTGTACTCCTAACGTCGTCTCCGATTGAATTCTGAAATGTTAAATCTTGTCAACTTCGAGTCTATAGTTGATCGTTGTTGTTCCTGCATAAACCCCAAGAACTTCACTTCTTGCCCTTTCTCTCGCTCATACAACTCCACACAGTGACCTTCTATCTTGAGTGGCTCTTGGGCCTTGTATTGGGTTTACTTATCAACAACTTAGTACAATTTCCAACTTGACATTTGCAAATAAAAAGTAAAGAACTCAATAAAAGTCAAAGATTGATTAGACACTGTCCTCTTCTATGGCAGTGAATTCAGGACAATCTCCTCACAGATGAAGAAGAGACTTGAGGTAACAGAAAATATGGTTCCACGGAAGGATACTGAGAATATCATGGATTATATAAGCTACGACAAAGTTCTGCGGATAAATCGAAACTTAAAATAAGAAAGAGACAGGTGAAAATGATAAAAGAGGGCTTAGAGAATTCGACACTCACAGGTAATTAAATGAATGGCAGAGCAGAGCATGGGAAGACTAATGAAAGGACAAACCTTACTAAGAGCTATAAAGGAGAGGAAGCTGTGGAGAATGATGCGTACGTTTGAAGGGACACGGCAAGTAGAAGACACATAACCTGAAGGTTTCATTTAATCATGAAACAGACTGTTTACTTACATATATATATATATATATATATATATATATATATATATATATATATATATCGCGTCTGTGTGTGTAGGCATATATATCTTTATGCATATATATGTGCGTATGTATATACGTGTGTTAAATCCGAGAGTTATCAATAACAACGTATAAATAGAAAATATATTAAATATACGCGTGTGTATGTATCTATATAAATATGTGTGTTTATATATGCGTGCATTTATATGTATATGTACATATGTATGTATATACGCACATATGTGTGTGTGTGCGTTATTTTTTAAGTGGATACTTGTATTTGAGTAGACGCTCCGTTTATTTATTAAACAATATATTTATTTATTTTCTTCTACCGGCATAAATTCTTGAGAAATCTTATTAAAGAAAAATTAAAGCACTGGCAGGATTTGAACGTGTGTCCCTGTGGGCAGGGGAAGCTACCGTTAAATCCGTCACGCTCTAACAAACTCAGCTACAAAGAAACACATTTGAAATGTGAATCGGGGTGTGAATTTCAGGGCGCCTACGTACGAAGCGGTTGCAAAGGTTATGTAAGTTTCTCGTGTTTAATAGGAACAGATGTCTCTGGAAAATTCCAGTGAGTGAGACAATTATTCAACCAGGGTATATGTCACAACAGAATATATAAAAGTAGGCTATTGGCTGATTTTAGAAAATGAGTCAGTGACATATTTTATTTCCTTGCTGAATTTGTTTTCTGTCAGAAATATGAATTTTGTAGCTGCTTTTTATTGGAGGCATATAAAAAAAGGTAATATTTATTGTTTGCATATTAAAAATCCTTTATTTGTCTTTTTCTCGACACACACACACGCATATATATATATGGTCGTATTTTTCAATGTGTAACAAGAGGAAAACTGCTGTTGCACTGAAATTATACTATGATACTTTCCCTTTTGAAGGACAACAAAAATATCTAAATCTTCGACATATAAACATTGGGCATTTTTCTGTCAGGTTGTTTTCCATATCAGGCAATTTTCCATCGGGCAATGGTCCTTATCGGGCAGTTTACTGTTGGGCACCTTGCCCTCGAAATGTATCTTTAATAAAAATGTTCCACTTTGTCTCATCTTCACAAACAAACAAACAACACACACACACACACACATATAGATAGATAGATAGATAGATAGATAGATAGATAGATAGATAGATAGATGGACACGAGACGCATATTTTTATCCAAGGATTTTTAATTGAAATTATTTTTTTTTCCCGTGATGCCTTTGAGTGATTTGTGGCTCCATCCCTTCTTTCATCTATTGCTTTTTTAGTCGTTCGAAGATTGCGTGAGCGAATAACTCGGGTTACGACAAGGGCCATCCTTTTTACGATTTAATGTTGTTATGCTATTTTTGCTTAAATATACTTTTTTCTAAACTTTATTTGAGGAAGATTAGCTGATTTAAAGTTTATTCTGATTTGAAAAAAATACATTTAGTTTAAAATATCGCAGAACAGTATTTTTACTGTGGTGTTAGAACTATCTCGATAAATTTATGCATGATTTTTTTTTGTATGTGGAACATATGTGCAAAGCTTGACGAATTAAGCACCTTTTTATATAATTTTAACTACCCAGTAATTTTAAACATTTAGGAAAATATTAATAAATAATATTAATAAAATATTTATTTTATTTAAAATAATATAGTTACAAAATGTTGTGTTTACAAAAATCGCCATCTTTGTAGAAACTCAATGTCATTGAATTGCAGTAAGCTTTTATAAATATTAAATATAGTTTTGACTTAATAACAATATTACCTAACCGCTACAAAATTTTAAAAATTTCAAAACATTATAAATTTTTATAATTAAAATTTTAAAAATGGAAACAATTCCTTTAAAAATTCATTATTCGTCGAAAAAAAGACGATAGTGTAGTGGACCGTGACGGTGGTGAGTATGTCTTGTAGAAGAACACACGTGAGAAAGTTGAACTTTAATTAAGTCCAAAGAAGACAAGGAAAAACAAACACAAGACCGATAAATATATATAAACAAACATATGATGAAGAATGGACAGAGTGCGTGTGGTGAATATTTGATGTGTGTTGTGGTGAGTGTTCGTACGTACGTGTATTGTTCTTAGCGTGTTCCCAGAATTTGGGAAACGCTGTATCAAATATAGAGCTCAAATCTGTGATGGTGTCGAGCTCAAATCTGTGATGGAGGATACTGAGAATATCATGGATTATATAAGCTACGACAAAATTAAATAAAAAGGGAATAATAGACGTAAAAAAATAAAGTCCTGGTTTTTGATTCAAATCAAACTTTTCTTATAATTAAAAAAATTCTCAATTTTATTTTTATTCATTTGTAAAAATATTTTTATCTGCTTTTGAAAAAAAAAAAGTTTCATTTTATTCAAAAAAAATCTAGTTTCATTAAAAAAAATCTATTATTATAGCAAGAATTTCCAAATCAATGGGTTTTTAAACGCAAAAAGACTCTAAAAATTCTATATTAATTTATGGTCACCCGCTGCTGCAATAAAAAAAATTAAAATTAAATTTTGAAGGTTCTAAAAAGGATTAAAATATAATTTAATAATAAAGATATTCTTTGGTCGTTCCTCTTAATGATGACAAAGTTTTTGACGAAAAAACTGTTTTTATTAGATTTTTTTCATCACGTATCATTTTCATCAATAAAATACTTAATCAATACAAGACAACAAGCAAACATTTGAAGGAGGGATTTATTCTATCACCTGCAAGGATTGCTAGAAATAATATGTTGAGGAAACCTCAAGAAGTTTAAATAAAAGATTACAATGAACAGAATAGATTTAAAAAACACGCAAAAAAAATTTCTTAGCTGATCACCGTAACGAGACTGACCACAATTTTGACATAAAAAATGCTACCCTAATTAAAAGAGAAAATAATTCACTAAGTCGGAAACATTTAGAAAATGATTTAATCGCTAGATCATCCACAGTAAATTTGCGTTTCAGATTCTTACAACGTTTCACCATATTTGATTGATCTTCTGTTATCAAAATATATGATATCTAACAACAAAGATCATGGAAACAAAACAAAAAGAATCTAAATGGAATTGGCTAAGTTGCATACAAAAAATATATTTCAAAATTTAAAACTCCCACCATCTCTCTTTCATGTTCATGGGTAGTTACAACAAAGTCAACAAACCCAGTCCAATGAAGTCTTAACGGAAACGAAAACTTTATTCTAATTTCTCATAAATCTTTTCTTTTAAAACCGTTCTTTATATATACATATATATACGGACATATATGTCCGTTTTTATATAACTTATCTCAGTATTGATGGATTGTGGGTTTGGGAAAGTAAACACATGACCAGAGTATATATTATGACTGAAATTAAAATGGATACCCATTGCGTAGGTTATTATTATTAGTTGTAATCAAAACATTCACATTAATATACGAGAAACGAGTAAGTAGGCATATTTCTTTTTATACTTGCATGCATAAAAATTACACACACACACACACACACACACACACACACACACACACACACACACACACACATACATATATATATGTGTGTGGGGTATTTTTATGCATGCAAGTATAAAAAGAAATATGCCTACATATATGAGTGTGAATATATATATATATATATATATATGGGTGTTTGTATATGCCGATATGTGTGTATATATGCATATATGTGTGAATATATTTATATATATATATATGGACAAACATATATGTATACAAACACATATATGCACACGCATGCATACATATACATGCACTCACATGCATAGACACAAACAATATATATATATGTGTGTGTGTGTGTGTGTGTTATCATTGATAATGGCTTATGTAAGCCGAAAACTTAGATAGGATTAAAAAATATGTATCAATATGGTGATTTCCTTTCATCTTTTAATGATGTTATTAAGCTTATCAGATGATTTGAAAAGTATTTGCATAAAATAAATCGACAAAAGTTGTCTATATTTTTTAATGAAACATGCATCAATGAAAAAATGCTGCCTAAATATAGACAATAATGTCAATCGACCTCCAATTGCCTTGATCTATCCACTATCCTTCTCCTCATCCATTCCTCTATCACTCCTATCTGCCCTCACTCCAAATCCTCTGTAACCCCTTGCATGCTAGTGGCTTCCCGCCTTGCTTGGGGTGAAATGCTTTATATATATATATATATATATATATATATATATATATATATATATATATATATATATATATATATAATGAAATTACAGAATATATACTATAAAATGAGATTTAAATAATTTAAAATATTATATTACAATCAAATTTATCTTTAAAAATATTTTTAAACTGATGTTACAAAAAAAAAAATGCTTCGTTAGTAAATTTACTCTTTATCTAACAATACTGAGGTTGATCTGATTGTTATGAAATAAAAATGGCAGCAATTGCTGTCATCTGAATATACCCAGTCCCCTATAAGACCGATTTAAATATATACGACAGGCGATGCTAATTCTGAATTAAAATTACATTTAATTAGGTCACAGAGAATATATTTGCTGTTTTGTTTTTGGTGAAAGGAAAATATTTCCGTGGGGTTTTACAACAGTTACTGCAGCCAAAAATAACTTTTTATTTTTAAGTAATATGGAAAAAAAAAGAACTGAAAAAAACAAACAAACAAACTATTTTTGAAGGGCATAGCCTTTATCATAGATAAATGTACTTCAGATCACTGCTATTAAAAAAATATTAAATATTATAAAAGTTATAAGCTGGGGGAATGATTAGTAGTTAAATTAATTGTAAATTGATCCCCCTTACGGAAGTCAAAACAAAATATGCTCATACTACATACTTTCTTAAAATGCAAAAGAAATTTAAAAAATTACTTAAAATTTGTAATCTGGAGGGTTTTTTTTTTAAGTTTATTTTAGTAAATATATTTACTTTCGCTTAAAAATTTAATTATATATATCGTAATTGTTTAATTTAATTATTTAAATCATTGATTATAATAATTCGAGATTTTAAGACATTTTGTTTATACATAAACTGGGTAATTTGCTTTTTAAGCCCCGCGCTAAATATCTCATAAAAATTTACATGTAAATTTACATGCTTAATTCGAAAATAACAAAGATAAAATCTACCGTTTAGAAGATATCGACAGTAAAATTTCGGATTCATTCGCGTTACGGCACGGCAGCCTTTACTAACGTTGTTAATACATTCGCTGCTGATTAGATTTACGCGAAAGATTACCTTGTTAACGGCCTTTTTATGGTTCTTACTTGACTGAATTACTGCGCAACTGAGGACTCAATGCGTGCGCAATAATCAAGACTATTCCGTGCCAAATATATTTAAACAATGGCTGTCGCGACGCAAATGAGTTCTAACTTTTATGGTCGATAACTCCAAAACGATAGATTTTATCAAAATGTCTTTGTTATTTTCGAATTAAGCATGTAAATTTACACCTAAATATAGCTATTTGGGAGATATTTATTAGATACTTAGCGCGGGTCTTAAGAAGCAAATTACCCCAAATATTAACTTTATATCATTAATTGTAAGCAATTAAAATTAGGCTATTCTTTATATGGAGTCTAGTGTCATGTTTTGTTAACCAATGGTTTGATTAGGTTTATTTTGTTTTACGGCATATTGACCTCAGTTGGTTATACGACAAGATTTTTATGGCTGGTAACATTATTTTTCAAAAAATGTATTGCTGGTAATTAAATAACACATTGAGGTTGATATACGGTAAAACAAAACAAAACAAACCAACTAATATATATTTTTAAACAATTTTTCATTTAAATATAATTTCTGTTGTTGAAAGCATTAACTTTTAATTGTTCCAAACAAAATGATAATAACAATTTGTGTATTTACATTAGGTAAATCAATAAGTCTGATTTTCTTATAAATATTTTCATGTCAATTGCTTTGATGACCTTTCGTCTTTACTAACTCGATTGTATAAATTTAAGCACAGTACTAGATTGGCAGATAGGTCTCATCATTTTACTGTTGAAATTGTTAGGTGTAACCGTAAGTTCTATTCTAATAGTTTCTTCTCTCATAATACTCGATCCTGGCTACTTGCTTTCTTATCAGCTTCAAAACATTAAATACATCATCATCAACTGTCTTTTTTAATCCTATTCTTATATTGCTCTTTT